AACTCATGGCATCATCATTATGGTCATCATGGACACTTCCCATGGCATCATGGACCTTTCCATCATCATTCACATCATTCACATCATGGCGGTCATCATTCACTGGACCACCATGGAGGATGGAAATGGGACTGAAACATATTGTAAAATCGAGGCCATATTGTTAACAACTATTTTATTCAAATTCACATTGGTCTTTGAAAGAAAAATCGTTCTGCGTAATTTATGATTATTTACTGTAATACCTTTGAATAAAAGAAATTTTTTAATTCTGTACTATAATAATATCAACTATTTGGACAACTTTAAAAAAACATAGAGCAATTCTTTAATCCCTGGAGCACGATATGCTAATTAATTAACTTTTAAAAGTTTTCGTTTGGAGTATAATTATTATTTTCCAAAAAGAAACATCATTAAGAACAATACCTTATCATTCCCTTCTTCTCGATTTCATTTCTACAATTAACAGGAAAATATAATAAATAAAACGGAATACAATTTTACACAAAAATAATTGCTGTTAACATATTGCGGGACATATTTTATTGTGGGATATTTTAACAATAAGTCAATTGATAGGAAATAAAAAAAAATGTAATCATTTCCACTATCAAAATGACCAAGAGGATCCATCACGTTGGTCATGCTGAAGATGAAGAGATGCTGTTGCTGATACGGTACCACATAGAGAGTTGCATTTAGCGATCGATTTAATTTCATCATAAATGGAATTTAAACTTACAGAAACGATTTCAGTTTTCATTTTCTTGTCTTTATCTTTTCCTGATTGTATTCCTTTCAACGGTCTGCTATAGCATACATCCTTCCGCTCTTCTACTCTCTTTTCGATCGGAGATAAACTACCTGCGTTTGTGGATACTGCAGATGTAATATAGTCAATGTTGTCAATAATTTCATGTTTTTTGAAATTTTCTGAAGCTATAAATTCTTCTTTGCCATCCATTTTAGTAATGTACCTAAAAATGGATAGAAATTTAAGTGAAACATTAATAATATTTTCACTTGAATTCTGAATATATTTTCAATACATATCTTTTCCATGTATCGGAATCATATGCTTAGATAGGTTAGAAATTAAAATTTCAAAAATGATAATTATATACTGGAATGATCAATACCTATAACATTAATAATGTTGATTAGTTTCAAACGAAAACAATAGAACTAGTAGTAAGTTCAGGATTCGAAATTAAAATTGTAACCTGATAAGCAACAAAAGGACAGCAGCAGATAAGGCGATCAAAATGACCATCAACCAGAGTAGATTCACATTTGATAGTTCTTTAACGGCTTGAAGCGAAAAAGCTGAATCAGTGGCATTTACGGGTACAATAACAGTAAGTTTGATTTCTTCCTGAACAGTCAGTGCAGCGAAAAAAGACTCCGTGCTATAGCGATTCCGGTGATAAACTAACAAATCTCTGTGACCAGTACGTGGACATCGAGGTGGCTGTAAATACGTTCTTTATGAAAATTTTTTTATAAAAAAAACGAGAAAAATTGAATATCAAATTTTCTTTTTTGTACCGATTTTTTAGTCATTCTAAAAATTCAGCATGATACCAAAATATCAAATAATATTTGCACACATATAGACACTATAAGACGACACTATAGGACAATTGAATAATAATTCTTGTAGTTATTATGTTCGCAAATTCTTCTATTGTATTAACTTTAAAATAATTTTCGAAAAGAAGCTTTTAATTTAAACTATCATCCAAAAAAAATATATTTAAGTCAAAAGTTTTTATATAAATCAATACAGAACTTCATAAACTTCAGAGAACAAATCGTCAAATTTACACCGATATCGTAAAATATTGTGTTGAGCTTGGCTAAGATATCTTTTGCTACAACGATAAATGATTTTAAAAAAATTAACAAAATTTATTACTGTAATTCCTTCACAACCATCTGCTTTTTTAATGCATAAGCTGAGTTTGCAATGAAATGACAAATATTCCGAATTGATAAGTTTGAAAACTTTAACATGCGCAAATGCTACAAGTTTATTATCGGAATAAATCACTTCGTGAACAATATTCATATCCGCGCTACAGCTGCAAATATTTTACATTCTCATTAAGTTTAAAATATTTTCAAAAAAAGAAGAGTACTTCTGCATAGAGCACAAATACAAATATCTAGGAAAGGTAAGTTTACTCATAAACATTGCTGCATTATTCAAATTTCTAAAATCTTTTCAAATTCGAAGGAAGAAACTGAAAACTTTTTGGTAGCATTTTACATTAAAATGATAATTTTCGGAACAGAGAAGTTTTCTACCCGTTACTGTCAATAATAATATGTTGTTGTTTGGTACCCGATTCAACGTAGCAATCATGGATATGAATTCCATATAAATGTGATGTTTCTGTAATATTTTCAATTTAAAGCAAATAATATTTCGTCACTCTTTCCAAAGAAATATGCAGTTTAAATAAATTATGATTAATTAAGAAAATTTAGTAATTTTTATTTAAAATTTTGTTAGAAAAAATTGAATTGAAAAAGTCCGCTTTAACTACTACATACTTAATTTTTTTTGTCAGTAAAATTTTTTAAATTTATTTTATAAGGTAGAGTGAATTTTTTAAATATACTTTCCAACATACATTTAAGGAACTTAGATAACTAATATCTTATGGATTATATCATTTTAAGGAACTTGGGATGAGAAACTAGAGAACTTGAGATCTTAAGGAGCTTAAGATGATTAATCATATCATCGAAATATTTAATTAAAGGTTAGGTGTTAGTAATAAAAAATCTCAGTGATAGCTATTTGTTTATAATTGGAAAAACGTTAGAGTACATAATTAATGTTATAAAACATTTTAAAAAATTAAGAAAGAAAAAAGGTACGTTGATCATCTTCACATTCCCATTTGTGATAAACAATATCACCAAGTTTAGCAGATTGAATCATTGGTCCATTTGGCGCATCTGCTCGAATGGAATAATTACATAATGGCGGTAACGAATTTAGCGGAAATATATTCGCCATTTTGATATTACTAAAATTTACAACAAATTGTTGCAACATGAGATGAAAAGATAAAATATTTTTATATTCGAAGATATGAAAACGGAAAAAATTTGATAATTCTATTAATATTATATTATTTAACTTTGACAAGTGTATTAATTAGTAATCATCAAATTTCATATTCATCCTTTTTTCATTTCATTTCTCCCTCTCTACGAAGATTTTATCAATAAATTTCAATGATAACCAAAGATAAGAAATGATAGCTTCAAAATAGGATATTAAAAAAAGTTTGGTGAAAAACTTTTAGGGAAATTTAATTGTTCAAAGTATAAATGTAATATCCTAATTTTAATTTCGAAATTCATTTATGAAAAGCAATTTTTTTTATCTAAAAATTTTTAACACATTTTCATATACTATTATGCAAATTAATGGAATTAAAAAGAAGTTATTCTAACTCCCGCAGATTCATATCAGTGCGTAGATTTCCTTCTTGTGATTTTGATTGCTGAGGCTGATAGCACTGTACAACAAATCCTTTATCAGCGCCACTTACTAACCATTTATCGTGGATTACATCGATTAGAGCCGAATAATTCATCCCTGATGGATTTACCTATAAATTCAAATTAATTTCGAAATTCATTTACGAAAAGAAAAGTAACTAACTCCAAATAAAGCTAAAATAATCCAGATATAAAAACAAACAATAATAAAATTCATGTAATCATTTTATCACCACTAATCAATTATTGTTATAACTGAATGATATCATGTAATGTTAATATTGATTCAGAAGCACTACTGCTACTTTTTTAGAACTAAATATTTGTTCAAAAATTTGGATGAAAATTGTGTTAAAAATGATTCTTCTTTACTAATATACATTACTGAAGGCAATAAATTTGAACTTCCATTATAATTCAATGTATAATGTATAATACTTCCACTGAATTATTCTATCAACTTACGGATATTGTTTTTTTCACATCACACTGTTTAAAACTGATGAAGAAGTAAACTTCACGATGTTCGATATGCTCACCAAATTGTTCCGCTTGAATAACTTTCGAACAACTTTTCGTTACATTTTTACCTGAAGTAAACAAGTTTATTTTAGTAATTAGCATAAAGATAAAGAAAATTAACAGAAATTCTTAACAGTTAAAAATAACGAAAACAATAAGCAAAAATCCAATTTTTTTAATTTACATTTAAACGAATGATTTGAATTAATAAAATTTATCTTTAATTTGTTCTCAAAAATATTTAAACATTAATTTAAATAATAAATCTTTTTCCAATTAAAAAAAATAAAGAAATGAAATACTTCGGACAGTAATAATTCCACCAAATGATTTAAGAAATTTAAATGTTGCATTAATTCCATCCCTTAAACATTGGGCCGTAAATTCTTGAATTAATTCATCCGTTTCCATCGCTATAATCTCACCGAAAGATGTTGTTTTTTCTGAAAACTAATGCATATATTTTGTATGATATAATTTAAAGAAGATATAATATTGAAGAACGATGCTATCGTAAATCATAATTCTTAACTATTAAAAATATTCTACTGATGATTATATTAAATTATTGACAATAATTCATAATTGAAACTCTTCATTATAATAATTCAGCTGTATTTATCAAATTTTAATTCTATTTACTAATATGAATTTATTTCCTTTTAGAAATTAGCATGTGGGAAATATGAGAAACGGACAAACCGTTTGCAACGGTTCGAATACGCTCTGCCAAATGACCAGATAATTGGTCGCTGTCCACTGCACTTACATTGAAGAAGAGATTGCGATATTTATTCTCCTTGACAAGCTGCTTAATCAGTTGAGGATTTGTATCATCAGCGGTAAATACTATTATCATTGTTATATTGTTTGCATGAAGTAACTGAAACTAATTGGCATAATAATATTAATTTAAATGTTTGAATTTTTTGTATAAGATGAATAAACGATGAAGAAATCGCTTCATTGATCATATTCTGAGTCATTTATAAGTAAGCAATACCTGTAACGTTTTATGAAATTGACCATCGGACATACCATTACTGACCACTACAAGTATATTTGCCGCATTATCTCTATCACCCTAAAATAAACATATCATTATGATATATGAAAGTTTTTTCTTTTTTTAAGAAAAATTTTACAAAACTCGATAAGTTATTAATTCTATAAATTAATTTCGCTTTTCAACAAGTTAGAAATTTTATTAAACTTACTCGTCGTTTACTAAAGCCATATTTGATAATCTTATAGATTGCATTATCAGCAGTGCTTAATCCACCGATATATTTAGTATCACCAATATCAGCAAGAAGACAAGGCTTACAGTTATGTTTATGGAATGAAAATTCCAGCACAGATTCTCGTGTAAATTGTATCAATGAAATCTGTTTAATAAAATTGAATTCAAATCTCAAAATTATATTAAATATGAGATTTTTTTTTTAATAAAACGAAAATCTGCAAAATTATGACAAAATAAATTAGATTAGAATAAATTTTGTTTGAATTTGATAAATTTATGCAAATTATTTGTGCTATAAATACATTTTTAATTATGCAAATTCAGTAATTTTTAATAGATTTCATTTAACCTGTATTCCATCAGAACCAATATTTTTAAATTGTTCTACGGTATCCGTGATAAGTTTCAGTGCTTGTTGAAAGTGCATTTTGCTGATATTATGAGAAGTATCGATTAAAAACAATATATCGGATCGAGTTTGATCAGATTTATCATTTGCTATTGGACATTTATCTACAACAATATTTAACACGGAAATCGTTTGCAATAAGAAGCTAATATTTCTAAAATCCTTTTGCATAACATAAATTAATTACATCAATTTTATTCTTTTAAATTGCTCGCAAAATTCTTTCTAATTCGAAATGTATCAAAAATCTGTTCAAAAATTTCACATTTGAAAAATAACATTGCATTTTTACTATTAGCAAAATTCCTGCTAAAACTATATTTGTATGATAAAATATAACACTTTTATATTTCCAGAATTTTAAGGAAAATTTTCATTATGAATAAATTACCTTCATTGAGTGCAACGATATCGCAATCGATCAACTCATTGATTTTTTCTTCATCTGTATTTCGTATCAATGATGGCTGCAAGTTTCAATCATTGGTCATTGAAGACTTCAGGACGATTATATCAATCGGTCATATTTATTTGCTATTTCTAAAAATTTTGGATATATCGTGGTTAATTAGTAGAAATGAAAGTGATTATCAGCTTGAACAGAAATTCTGAAACCTGTTGTCTAGTTATTTTTTGACACATTCAAACTATACGACGTTCTTACCAGTTTCAGTTGTGAAACTCTAAAATCAAGTTTTGTCTTTGGGTTCATATTTCTTTCAGAAATGTTCACCTCATCATTCATTACTTCAACTCCGGTTGGATTTGACGATAGTTGTTGTGGTTGAATAAAATGAATATGTTCCGATAATTGAGTGCTAACCGGTGTTCTGAATTCAAATTTTAGGACTTCGTTTTCCTCTTGTTCAGCTCCAGATTCCGTAAATAGTGTATCGGTATTCGAAAGTGAGGAATCGATAGATTCTATGTAATCTAGTTCAGAAGCTTCCAAATCATGTTCTGGTTTGAAGAATATGTCTGGAGGAGCAATTTTGTCTTCTTGAATGATAAGATCAGGAAGGATTATTTCATCTCTCGAATCAAATCCGGACTGGAAAGGGTTTCTGAATCGCGTTTCTTGTTCAACTTCCGCTGGTCGATAAAATAAGGTACTTTTTGTAGTTGCTTGTCTTTCAATAGTTACAGGTTCATCTTCTGAAGAATCTGAAGGATAGGTTTCTTCCAAGCCACTGATCCGTTCTCCAACTGCAGTATGTTTCATTAATTGAAATGATGAAGCTTTCTGTTGTGTCTTTTGCTCTTCCAGAATCTCTCGATCACCTACCGCAATAAAAGTAATTGGAGATGTTGTTATTCCAACATGAGCTGTATCAAGGTTCTTTCTGTTGGGAAAAATTATCAGTTCCGGTGTTGAAGAAATTGTAGAAGTTAGTAGTGGTCCAAGCGGTAAAATATCAGAAATAATAGTATGATCAGCGGTTGAAGAAATGGTAATTTTCGAAGAATCATTTTCATTTTCTGTGATCCGACTTTCAGAAGTTTGCGTGCTTGAGATTCCAGTTTTTATAAAAGAAGGAATAATTTCGAAATCTGGAACTATTGTACTTGTTTCAATAGAAGGAGAATTCGTTAAAAAAGCGGAATAGTCTATTATGTGGCTTGATGCTAAATTTCCGGTTCTATTGATAGCTAAATTCGGGATCCGTTTAAAAATATGACTTGGTGTTGAAAATTCGATTTTTCTTCTCGTTACATTCAGAATAGTTCCTTTCGTTCTATCAAAATCAAAACTATTTCCATCTATCATTGCTGAGGTACCAATAACTGATGCCAATTGACCTATTTCTTTAACTGATGTTTTTTCAAAATTTTTGGATTCTTCCTGAAAAATACTCAATTGTAAACAAAAATATTTTTCAGATAAAAACTTCAATTTACGGAAAACTTTTGTCAAATATTTTAAATTCTGAAATTTTTAAAATTTCATTTGAAAAGAAATCAAACATGGGAATGTATTTAAAACGTTTTCATTCCTGCTGAAGCATACTTTTGAAGCATTGAAACTTATTTTTTCTAAACCATTAAAATTTGCTGGAATATTTTTCTTTGTTGATTTAATGGTACTTCTTTTAGATGGTACTTTTTTTAATGGTACTTCTCCAAATATATTCGCGCTTTGTAAATCAGCAGCATAATGTTTTGAATTTTCGTTACTATTATGCGAAAAATTATTGTATAATAGTGAATTGAATGGATTCTGCGTCATTATCCAATCCATCGTTAATCAATGTTACTTCTTTCTACAATCCACTTTATTCAATTATGTATTTTAATGAATTTTTAAATCTTCAAATTCATACATCATTATTGCTCCTTGACAGTGAATATCGGCTGTTGCTTACTTCATCGACGGTACCTTTTTCAAGATCAATTTTGAGTGATGTGGAATTTTGTTGACTGTCTAACAATAATGCAGTATTTCCTGCAATATTCCAGCAATTTCACGATTACATAAAGGACAAATGTGCAAATTTACAAAGTTTGGCAGTGAGAAGTGGTGACAGTTAAAGTTTCTTTCCCTGTTTTTTTGTTACAGAGATTGTTGATTCGTGTGTTGGAGTTAATGGTACCTACTGGAATTAACCAGAAATATTTGAATATGCGCAATATTGATTGATTTATCCATCAAGTATTACCAATTTTTTGTTGACTTTCATCATTCAACCTAAATGTTCTTTGGCTAGTGGCGTATTGCTGAGGACCATAATCAAATGACAGATCATAACCAGGTGCTATTGCAGCATCTTTACCAATTAGTATTACCTGAAACTAATTTTGAACACCAAGGAGGCAAATTTAGAATTCAGAAGAAATTTGAGGGTTTTTGGAAACTAAATTTTACAAAATGCAAACTATAAATAACTAGCAGTCTCTGAGAATTTCATGTGAAGGTGGTGATTCAAAAGTTTAATTGCATTGATTTTTGCATTCAATCAAATCACTTTAAACTGTGATTGCTCAGAATATTAATTATGATATCAATTTATAAACATTCCCCATGGAAATTTGAAGTAGAGCGAATGAATGTTAATTTTTATTAACAGATCAATCAAAAATTATCACCAAGATCAAAAACCGCAAGAGTGAGAATTCACAAAGACATTTTCATGAAACAAAGATTTCCACGAAACAATGGTGAAGTAATTTCATCAATGGGATCATTCAGTGACCTCTTGCAATAGTGTTTAATTATAAGATCCGATTTCACTTTCTCTTCCAAATATTGTTTGGTGATAATTTAAAAATCGAAGAATTTAAATTTCATAAATCTTCTAAATCACTTAAATTTTATTATTTTCATTCGTTAAATCATCAGAAGCTTATTTATTAGCTAACATCTCATATCATCAACTCATTTAATTCTTTACTTAATTATTTCAATTAAGATATGAATTGAAGAATGAGAATGGATACAAATTTCTGATAACTAAATGGTTATTTATTGATAAGAGAGATTTGAATCTAACATTTAATCAATAAAATTTCTTATTTGAGGAATTTTGTTAATTGAATATTAAATTTAAACATAATCATTTAAAAAATTGATAAATTTATGTTAATAAGTAAAGGTTATACTTACAATTATTAAAGAATGTATTATTATCCATCGTGTAATTCGTTGCATTTCAAAATAAGAACACTTTACAAACTGCAAAATTTGCGCACATTATCATTTATATTATCATATTTGTATAATAATAAGCGTGCACGAATTCTGATAAAAGATAACTTTAGATATTAGAAAAAGGAATTGAATAATTGAATTATTACTATAAAACTGTCAAGTTAATAGGCTAAACAAATTAATGAACACAAGAAATGCTGGAAAATTATAATTAATTTCATGGAAAAATTAATAAGAAGCGCATAATTTCTGAAAGATAATAAGTAATAATCATCAAAGATTATTGAATTAATTCCGTCTTTAGCAAAACGAGTTGGATTATAATTATGGAGGAAATAATTAAATTATAATTAACATCTTCATCAATGAAACTGCCATAAAATCTATAATTTAAACGAAAAAATCTTAAAAATTTTTATATTATATAAGCTAAACTAATAAACTTGTTTAATTATATAAATTTTCATGAGTGTTATTGATATCAGAAGATTTTCACATCTAAAACAATAAAGTAGATCGGAAGATAAAAAGACGGTTATTAGACTGAACCAACTGATTTTATGAAAGAAATATGAAATGAAATAACCAGTATCGTCTCATCTGATAAGTGATCACTATCATTGCATGTAATAATCAAAATATTAACCAATATTTTATTTCCGGTTCAAATTTCAGCTTCATTCGATGAAATCGTTATCATTGGTTGGTTGAACGATCTTGAAAAATAATTTGTTATTGATTTATAGGAAATTTAGAAATGAAATAAGTTATTCTTACGAATAGAATTACATTGTGTTTGTTGTTTCATTATGGGAAATTATTCTAAACGATTTCAAATTAAGTTATAATGCTATAAATACTAATAATTTACTAATTAATAATGCCAATGAAATATCTGCGGCTCGCATTATCAAAGCATTTTAATGTTATCAAGAAAGCATAAGGTCTTTAATGAAAATAGAAAATAGAAGGGGCAGAAGTACGATAATAATACTACGAAAAGTAGAAGGCAAAAGTAAGATGATACATATTTTGCTTTGTTATAAATTTGAAATTTAAATATGACATTTGAGAAATTTTTAGTAAAAAACATATCACCGATTTAAATGAAGTTTTTTTCTTGAAAAATCGAAAACCTCAAAAATTTACTTTCAAATGTTTTCTCCTAAGTACACTCAACTGATCTGTTATCAAAACTCTAATTTGATTTTATAAATTTCATATAAATGAATATAAATTTAGGTACTATAAGTAATTTGAAAATTGCATCAATTTTAGGCAATTTCAATAATTTGAAAAAATTTGAAATTTTTTGAAAAAAACTTGTTCAAAAAAATTCCCAGTTTTTTAATTTGCCAAAAAATTAGCAAATTATTTTTAGATATTTTAAATTTTCTAGTTTATAGATATATCATTATCGTTCTCGATTCTCACTCAACAAATCGTATAAAATTTTAATGATAATTAGAAAAATGATCGCTATTGATTTATGGTTTTTAGAGTTGTGACTTATATTTCATATATTGCTTATGTTTCTCATTCAAATTAGAATTTGACTTAATTTCAGTATTATCAGTACTAATTATCAAGGTTTGGTGGTTTGGTACACCTGAAATAAACCAATGAGGCACATATTTACTAAACATCTTAACCTCTCTCATTTATTTCAAATGCTAAACGATCACAAACTGTCCTGAGTTCAATTCTTTACAATCAATCAGTCACTCTATCTTTATCTACCAAACCTGAATTACTCTTATGCTAATGTTTTATTGATATCGCAAGTTAGTATTTTTATAATTTAATTAAAAAATTTAAGAAAATTTTACTTCAGTGCTGAATTAATCCGAAGTTTCGCAAAAATGAAAATACATATATTTTGCCAGCCGAAACTTTGAAGATTAATTTGATAGAAAAAAACATTTCAAATACCGAGGCCCGATTTGTTTCCACCTCAACTTCGCTATTTCAACACATTCAACTATCATTTAAATAGGTAAATTAAATATAGCATAATTCTAGGATGTTTCGAAATACACAGATCATAATTTTGCGAGTGATTAATCTTTTTTGCCATATTTTATTTAACAGCAGCCCACAGTTACTTCACTACCAGCGAAATTATTGCAAAATTTTTTTTAACATCGACAAAGTTTATAAAGTTTAAGAAAAAAGATTTTTGGAATCAGTCGAGAAATGGTTGAAACGATTCGTACTATCAAAATTATTTCCCACTGACCTTTCACTTCCCTCAATATCGTTCAAATTCCCATCACCGCCTTTTTAACATCCTTTCTTCAATATTTCCTTTTTACGAATTGTTACTTTTCCTTCAGTGCTATTCAATTTCTCTTCACTTCAATCATATCTTTTATTTTACGGCGGAAAAAACCGGTCCTTTAAATCTTCCTTAAGGAGTCGGTTTATTTTGTAGAATTCGAATTAAAATAATTGAATTGCTGCATTAATCAAATTCTCCGATTGAAATGTATTAAACAATCACTGATCCGGAAAATTTAGTGGATTTTGAGTGCAGAAGAGAAATTTCTTCTCTAAAACTAATTGCATTTATAGTGGCAAAAGAAAATTTAAATCGAGGATTCATCACTTAATTGTTTAATTTCCAGTTGTTGTAATTGTACTGATCTATGAAGCAACGAGTACCATAAAAAAATTCTTATTCATAAAGCAGTACTTAAAGCTAATAGCTTTTATCTTATTCGTCCAATTTTAAAATACTTCAGAGCCATAACATATAAAACCTAAATGATAACTAAATTTCATTAAGTCTTAATAGATAAAGTAAAAGATGATAAATACGGGATGCTAATTAATCCATTACTAGAATGATTTCAATAAATGATTTATTGATCAAATCAATTTATCTGTTTTATCTTATCCAACAATAATCCATATGCAAATTTCATGTTAATATTTGATTACTTTCATTTCTTAGTGATACATTTTAAATAACGATATATTTTAAAATAAAACATCATTTGATTGAAGAAGCTGTGTGAGCTGGTTATACAACTGAAATGGTATAGTCGTTCACATGCTCTCGAAAATTCTTTTAGATTTTATTACTGAGCGAAGAAAAATTTACTATTCAATAATTTAACCATCCATTACCAACATTATTAAATCTAATATATTAAATAATATATTGATTTATATTATTGTATATATTTTATGTACTTATATATTTATTTATTTATATATTTATAATATATGTATATTTATAATATATATTTACTTCTATATTTATTTGTACTTATATTTATTTATATATTTATTTATTTAATATATTAGGCTTAATATATATTAAGAATTTATTTCAATTTCATCCCACGAAATGTCCATTTCAGAGCTTTAAGCAAAGTTTGTTAGAATTGCAAACAATCCTATTTGGAAACTATAAGATTGCTCTGAATTGACTTTTATAATCTTCTAACCTAATTCTTCTTACACCTTCTTCTTGGATGATAATAGTAGTTCCCTAACCAGAACAGTCCTTAAAATAATGCAATACTGATAAGACTTATAATGTTATCAGGCTAATGTTTCTTGCCATATATCATAGCTTCATGAATTCGTTTTTCGAAATCATTTGGTTTGACGGATATCTTCATGAATTTGTTTCGAAATTATTCCATCTTATTATCATTCAAAGAGTAAAAGAAATATAAGTGAGGGAACACATCTAACATATATGGCATCTATATCAGAGAATGTATTCAACATCGCAATGTCGGACACGACATGAATTTCATTCTAATAGTTAAAAAACTGTTCGAATATCTCAAAAGAGATTGGAGCAGTTTTTTTATCTCGTAAAAAATTAAAAAAGAAATTTGCAATTAAATTTATACGTCTTAAATGATCTATATTAGTTCTGGTTAATTAATTAACATGTGTTTTACATAACTTAAAGAAAAAGTGAAATTCATAATAAACAAAATATGTCAACATTTCCAACATTTTTTTATTTTTATTCAAATTTGAAGCAATTTGAAAATACATCACTAATGGTACCTGTCTGTAAATAATGTTAAAAGTTTGGAGTAATAAAATTATATGAAACGGTGATGATTATTATCATTATGACTTTGCTGCCACTTATCTTCCTTGCACCAATGATTACTTTTGAATTCTTGGATAGAAAGCAACGAAAGATGTTTCAATTTTTGCTTGAATTCAGGCCAAAAAATTTTGTCTTCCCGGTGGTTAGTTGTGTTACAACTTCTTGAAATTTTTTTCATCACTTCATTTCACACATTCAACAATAATTTAAATGACAAGGTTGTTCAAAATTCGGAAAATAGCATCAATCAAATAAAACATTATAATAGGCCATGCTTTTAAAAAAAGCCTCCGAATCATTGCCATAGTTTTATGAACAATTTCTTCTGCTTTTAATTTCACAATCCTATAGAGAAGGATTAGAGAAATATTTCAAGATCTGCGCGATTATCAAGTCATATTCTTTATCAAATCACTTAACCCAATCATTAATCCTGCCGATAAGGAAAAATTTTTATTTCTATCGTCTAATTTAAAAGCATGAGGTGATGTCTAACCAAATCGAGTCTAATTCTAGTAGTCATTAAGATTAATATCATTTCACAGGTTCAAAATGAAAAATGCTGATAGGGTTGTACGAAGAAAATTTCAGAGGAGCATTTCGGAGGATCAATTCGAAAAGGAAAAACAACTGAGTGAAAATGTTAATCGTAGCAGAGAAGAAATCCGCGCCATCTTATCAGCCCGAAATTATCCGTCACCCAGAGAGTTGCGTAAGTGTAAAGCACGCTGCTGTCACATGCCATTTGGATGATCCACGCACACACGCATGGATTCCTATGTTTTACCAATGATAATTATAGCTCTCTTCTAAAATCCATGCTATCAATACCGCATATCTTTGCCTCTTGCAAGCATGCATGCATGCATACTTGCATCTTTTAGCTGGAAATGAATTCTAAAATGTAACCAGTTTTAGTGTCGTTGATGTGTACATCACCTACGCAGCCATCAAGCACGTGTATTGCGCCAGAAAAAATTGGGAACTATCGAAGTGTTATCACTAGTAGAACTGATATGCATACATTGTCGAAAAAGCATTCAAGTAGTATGAATTCAAGTGAATCGGCTAGCACTGCAAAGAAATTAAACACTATAATTGACAAATTTAAAACGTCATTTGTCAGAAGCGGTATGAATTCGAAATCAGCGACAACAAAATCTTTTTCACGATCAGAATCTGAAAACTTTCTTAAGCCGAGAAATTAATCTATTTTTATATTTAATCACATTCCCATTATTATTATCATAAAGAGTATTAACTTTTAAAGACATTTTGAAAATTTATCGGCACATTCATTATGAACTGTATTGCGATTAACATTTGCTGTCATTGCTTTTAAAACTTCTTTTTTATTAAATGATAAATTTCACAAACTTTTCATAAAATCCTGAAACAGTTAAAATATCGACTGACTCCCAAAACTTTCTGTGCCTTGTCTTTCTGATATATTAGAACAAAAAAAAATATAACATTTGAAATGCCTTCAGAATACGAGTAACAGAAACTCTGGTCCTATTAACTAGTCTGGATTATGTTAAGGAGACTATTGAATAAAGAATAAACTGGAAGAACAGTGGGGAAGGGAAGATCTACTTTCATTTTTGTATAACTTCTTCATCCTACTATCATTGACAACATTATTGTTATTGCACAATACTTTAAATTTGATCGATCACGGTACTGAAAGTATACCATGTCATACTGTTAAGTGTGCCGCTGTGTGCAGTTAAGCCATTTATCAATGAATATAAAGAAAATCCTTATATTTCATGACAAAAGAAACTGTCAAAGACAGGAGTTAAACAGTTGAACAATGCGGTGGAACATTTCAATCCCATTTCCATCCTCCATGATCCAGTGAATGATGACCGCCATGATGTGAATGATGATGGGAAGGTCCATGATGCCATGGGAAATGTCCATGATGACCGTAATGATGATGCCATGGGTC